CACACACACACACACACACACACACACACACACACACACACACACACACGCACACACACGCGCACACACTCGCGCACACACCCGCGCGCGCGCTTCAGTGAAGAGAGGGGGGAGGAGTCAGAGACACAGCAGCACCCTGTGAGCACTGAGCAGCACACGAACAGGTGAGACAGGGAGACGAGAGAGAGCTCGATAGCGCTTGAGTACAGAGAAAAAACTACACGGTGGAAAGTGGAAAGGTGAGAAAATGGATAGGAAACGCAGTGAAATTTGGACTGATTTCAACTTAATTGATAGTTCAAAGGCAGCGTGTAGACTGTGCAAGGTTAAAATGTCCAATATCAAATATTAATTTATCATTTGTTGTTTGGTAATCAAAGCTTACTTATGTTGTTTTAATGTAAATATTTAAACACTTATAAATATGCACAATCAGAGATTGGAACTTTTTGTTGACCTTTTTTTGAGATGGGTCTTTGTTTTTGTACTTTGTAATTTATTTTTTTGTAGCACTCCATGTTGTAAGCCATGTTGAGTATGTTCAGAAGAATATAAATAAAGCCATATAAATAATAAATATTTGATATACTGTATATTTTTTACATTCGTAATTCATTTTACACATAATTTTACATTATTTTTGGTATTAAACTAATTTAAGCAACAACAAACAAGCACACGTACTTCGCCCACGCTGCAGGGGCAAACCATTCTGAAAGAGTGGGGGGGGGATTTTCACTCCCCCTAACAGTAAATTTGCTGACTAGCAACAAAAATGCCATCAACGGATGACTTCAGTTTTCCTCCTCTCCTCTAGGAGGCATCCCTTACAGATAGACCTGGATAATTTGGTGCAGTTTTCGCGTGCAACCAAACAAGCACACGTACTTCGCCCACGCTGCAGGGGCAAACCATTCTGAAAGAGTGGGGGGGGGATTTTCACTCCCCCTAACAGTAAATTTGCTGACTAGCAACAAAAATGCCATCAACGGATGACTTCAGTTTTCCTCCTCTCCTCTAGGAGGCATCCCTTACAGATAGACCTGGATAATTTGGTGCAGTTTTCGCGTGCAACCAAACAGCCAAGAGTGCCGAGGTTGGCAGCTAGGGAGAGCATAAGAGTGAGATTCCACCCCCCCCCTTTTTTTAAAGTCGTCTTCCTTTCTGATTTTGAGTTAAACCCACACCGCACACAACGCAACCCGTGTAAAATGTACGAACCCATCGCGGTGGAATAGGGACCTTTTGGTGGGTGGGTGGGATTGAGCTGGCGTAGAAAAACCAACCGGAATCGGACGGCCGCGGCACGGAGAGCCGGGGAGGGACCACGGCACAACCGCCGCCAGCGCCACGGGGAGTCGGGGCCCGAGAGGGAGCCTGCCGGGGCCCTCGCCTTAATGCGCCCAGCCTGCTTCTTCGCCTCAGCCGCACTCCGAGATGGGGGAGACCAAAATTATCTACCACCTCGACGACCAGGAGACACCCTATCTGGTGAAACTGTCTGTGCCGGCGGACAAAGTCACTTTGGCAGACTTCAAAAATGTCCTCAAAAAACCCAACTACAAGTTCTTCTTCAAATCTATGGACGATGACTTCGGGTAACTGTTTATATGCTTGCTTTATAAACGTCGTTTTTAGGCTGTCATTCGTATGGATTTCCTAACGTAAGTGCTGCGAGACTTGCCAGCGGAGGAGCCAGCTGGCTTGTCATCGCTTCACCTGGCTGTCGATCGCTTCTTTAGCTTTCCTTTGTTAGCTGCTAGCGGCTAGCACGTTTGTTTAGCGTCCACGCCGTTTGTTTACATTGCTCGTGAGGCTAGTCCTACGAAGCTCGCAGCCTGTCGTCGCGCCGACCTAATTTGGCTTAGGCAGTTTCGGGAGCCCCCGGCCAAAATCCCCCATAACATTGAAAAGCATTTTCACAATCGCTGAAAAATAACCAGTTTGTGCGTCACCAATGTCGGCAGTTGGCGGATCTGTATGGAAAGCTAGTGCTACGAGGCTAACGTCAGAAGTAGTTATCCAGCAGGCCCCTATGGAAAGCTGTTTGAACATTTATTTGATATTCCACTAGATTAATTGTCCACGTACTAGAACGCTATTTGTCCTCACTTCGCAATACCATTCAGTGCACTAGAAAAACGGCGATGAAGAAACGGGACAGTTTTTTTTTCGCGACTGCTTTTCCCTTATACTGCGTGAAATTTCTAGGCACTAGTGGAACGACTATCTTGACGTTATTCCCCCCAATACTTGCTGCTGTCCACTTCTAAATGACATTAATACGCACGAGGAGAATCCCTATGTCTTATTCGTGACCTTTTCACGCTACTGCAAGACATGTCTGCTCACTAGAAAAGCGCACTAGTAGAACTGTCCTCCAAGTGACTTTTTTTTCCCACAAGTGTCTGACATTTCTGCATACTAGCAGAACAACTAGGCCACACTAGTAGAACGACTCTCTTACTCGTGTTTTTCCCCACTACAGTCTGACATATCTGCGTACTGGTAAAACAACTTGGGTACATTATTATTAATGGAAAGGTTGCACTAGTATAACGACTGTCTTACTCAAGATGGATTTACCCTACTGTCTTCCGCAACTCTATGACACGTTGACCCACTAGTACATGGATGCCTAAGTCTGGGCCTCAAGAGCCCCTACCTGTTTTACATGTTTCCCTCTTTCAACACTCCTGATTCAAATAATCAGGATCGTTATCAGGTTTCTGCAAAGCCTGCTGATGAGCTGAGTTACTAGTATGCTTAAGTTTCCCAAGTAAAAATCCTGCCACAGTTGTGTGGCTAAAGCCAAACTGTGACAGGGTTTTTAGTTTCTGGACCTGGATTTGCCACCTCTGATTGTTTGTGATTTTTTTCAGTCCTTCATTCCACTACTATGTAGCATTTCTGCATACAAGTCAAACAACTGCCTTACTAGAGATGTTTTTCCAGTGAAGCAGTAGCTGTTACTAGTGAAATTTGTCACTAGAAGTACTCGTACTAATGCTAGTATTAGTAGCACACAGTTGTCAACTAGTGGACAGTTTAGCCTCACTATTATCATGGTAGTTGTCCTACGATTATGCTTAAGTTCCCTTCTAGTGAATACGAACAGAATAGTAGTACACAGACCTTAAGATTGACATCAAGTGTATCAAATACATGCTCAAACAGCTTTCCAAATAATGACGACCACATTTTCCAGCTTTGTGAGTCCAGGTGAAATTGCAGGTAGACAAATGCTGAAAAATAAGCAGTTACGAGCGGCATGTCTGTCAGCACCAGAGGATACGTATAATCAGCTTATAGGCAGATGTCAGAGGGGTAACTAAAGAGTTTGAGCTAGTTTGTCCACCAGTCCCCTGCTGTTGTTGTCCATTAGTCAGAGGAATGCCGAGTTGGACTTAGGAATGTACCGTTCATCACTCTGGCAGATTTATGGCCGTGTCCCTTTGTGTTTCAGCTGGAAAAAGTGTACATGTTGGCATTCTCCTAGACAATGGTGTCCAAATAGTAAAGTGAGATATGTTCTATTTTGAGCACTTGAGCCAGGTTTCTCAAGTTGTTTTTAGTCAAGTTCAAATATGGACGGGGCGGCAAGCAACTTGGCCACATCAGCAAAGGACTGCTATTCATGTTGGGAAAGGTGAAGGGATACTCTGTAAATACACCTGCAAATCAAAATAGTGCCACAACAAGAACTAGCAAGCCATCAGGCTGCAAAGTTCTTAGTAGCAGTCCTGCCAGATCTGCCGGTAGTTATCTGAGGCAGAAGATTATTCCATGCCATTTCTGTATTTATTGTCAATGAGTACTTAATCCAATGCAGATGTTTGGTTATCAAACAGCTACTCGGAAATCGGGGATTAAAATGTGGGCATTCCCACAGTTAAATAACACGGCACCGGTATTGTCGACAGGCGGACGACATTATTTATCTGCAGCTGCTCTTGTGTACACAAGGGGTGTCCTGAATAGATTCTCAAAAGTATGATACAAGTACCACTATTATTAATCAAGTGGTACACGAAAGAATCACTGGCTGAATATAGTTCGGTTGTATTTAACTTTTCATTTCATTACATTTTTATTTCATCTTTAAGAACCGTTTGTTTTTCGACCTTTATTTAGGTCAAGTTTTGAATTACTTGTGCGCAGTAATTTTTTTCATTGAATCATGTCAGTGCAATTTTGTGATTTCATTTTGGTAAGGCCAAACAAAAACGATAGTGTGTTTCCGGTAACATGAAATTTCAGCATAGGGTCGGTAGGTCGGACAAAGTTTTTTTTTTTTTTTTTTAAATCCTTTTTTTTTCCCCATCAAAAATTTAAACAAAATAACCATAAAACATAAAACAAGGAGATATTGAACCCCAGCTCGCCGGTGTTAGGTTCCGAGGTCGGCCGGGTCGCGATGGCACCGGCGGGGAGAGGGCCCCGACGCCGGCCGCGGGCCGGCCTGGACTAGAATTGCGTAGACTAGGCGGACGGTGCGTCGACGAGCGCGCGGAGGTGCTGGTCGGCGGGGTGGGTGGTCGGGGAACGCCCCCACTGCCACCTATTTAGTTTTCTCCCCGCTCCGGACTCGGGGCGCCGGGGAGCACCGCCCCCCGCCCTCCTCCGCCCTCGGTTTTTACTCGGCCCGTAGTGTTCATCAAATAGTTAGCTGAATTTTTTCGATACATCAATGGATGCAATTTTCTTAACATTACGGTGCGAGCATGCAACTGTAACACAGAAAACGCGGTTTAAACTGTCGTCGGAGATCGCGGCCGCCGCCATGATTCAATGTTGTTGACAGACGACAGGGCAATCGACGCACGCGCTCAACGTGAATATCGCGAGACTTTGCACCGATGTAAACCCTCTACACAAAAATGTAGAGGGTTGTTTGAAAAAAATGCCGACCGTAAAGTTTTTTTTCGACATAGAAATTCTCGGTCGGTCGGGTTACCGGAAACACACTACTTTTTTTCCTCCGCCTAAGTATTTTTTGAGGTGATACTTGATGTAAAAAGTTGAAGAGCCACTGGTAGAGTGAATCAATTGGGTTGCTCCATTAGTGTCGGTCGTGGTTGCCCGCCTCTAAACCAGCTTCAGATTTTATTGCCTGAGAGTGCTTTTGTCTCGGTACAAGTTGACTGAAACACCCCTTTGTTCGCTTTGCAGGGTGGTAAAAGAGGAAATATCTGATGACAATGCAAAACTGCCCTGCTTTAATGGACGTGTGGTGTCATGGGTAAGTTCAAATGCATGCGTTGGATCAGTGGCATCATTTTTCGCTCAAAGCCCCAAGTTCAGAATTACTGCATTAGTTTGCTTCAGTGACAGCGGCGTCTCTGTGTGCACTTTAAATAGAAGACGCTTTCCAACTTTTATTGTGAGGATTTAAATCATGGACATTAACTGGTTTCACCATGGAGAAGTCTCACTGGAGAGACAACAAAACAAGACTCAAACACTCAATGGAGCGCAGACCTCCGCCAAGGCCAAATATTAATGCCAGATGATGGTAGAGGAGTAGTGCAATTTGTGAACGGAACGGGAAACAGAAGAAGTTTAAAATTTAAAAAGAAAAAAAAAGTTGGAAAAAGAAATTGGAGAAGAAACGGTTTGACGTGGTGAGGAAGGAACTGAGCCGAAAAACAAAAGGCCCCTGATTTGACGGTCAATCTATGTCCCCACCCTCTCCTATGATCACAAGCTGTAAGTTGTAATCGAAAGAACAAGATTGTGGATGCAAGCGGCTGAAATGAGTTGCCTGCGCAGAATGTCCAGGCTCTCCCTTTGAGATAGGGTGAGAAGCTCGCTCACCCAGGAGGGGCTCAGAGTCGAGAGAACCCAGATGAGGTGGGTCGGGCAGATGATTAATATTTTGGGATTGCGATTTAAATTGTGATCATTTTTTCAAGGTCCTCTTCCCCTGTGTTTTTTTATTTTATTTTTTTACAAACACAAGCAATAAATTGTATTACAATAAATCATATCAAAATTTGTTATTCCTAAATGTTTTGGTCTTATAGGTGACAGGTTTATGCTGAAATAAAGGCAAATGAACCACGAGATAATATCAAAGACGGTTTATCCACTTAAAAGTTTTTGACTTGCTCAATACTTTGACTTGACTTGCAGTCGTTAAACTCAACTCAACTGTATTTATCGAGCACTTTAAAACAACCATTGCTGTATGCGAAGTGCAGTCCACGTGTTTAGGCCAAACAAAAAAGATAGTGTGTTTCCGGTAACATGAAATTTCAGCATAGGGTCGGTAGGTCGGACAAAGTTTTTTTTTTTTGTTTTGTTTTGTTTTTTTAATCTTTTTTTTTCTTTCCATCAAAAATGTAAACAAAATAAACATAAAACAAGAAGATATTGAACCCGCCACTCCGCGACCGGCGCCGCCGCCACCTCTTGAGTTGTCTTCCCACCCGTCCTCCTCTGCCCTCGGTTTTTACTCACCCCGTGGTGTTCATCAAATAGTTCGCTGAATTTTTTCGATACATCAATGGATGCTATTTTCTTAACATTATGGTGTGAGCATGCGACTGTAACACAGAAAACGCGGTTTAAACTGTCGTTGGAGATCGCGGCCGCCGCCAAGATTCAATGTTGTTGACAGACGACAGCGCAAACGACGCAGGCGCTCAACGTGAATATCGCGAGAGTTTGCACCGATGTAAACCCTCTACACAAAAAATGTAGAGGGTTGTTTGAAAAAAATGCCGACCGTAAAGTTTTTTTTCGACGTAGAAATTCTCGGTCGGTCGGGTTACCGGAAACACACTACTTTTTTTTTCTACGCCTTATGTACCATTGTTGCGTGAAATGTGAACATTTTAAGAGGTAAAGCTGTGGCTTTGATTTGTTGGCATGACTGACTTCTAATTTATTGTCCTCTGTTTAGGGCAGGGGTGTCAAACTCATTTCACATGGTGGGCCACATACGGCCTGGGTAGATGTCAAGTGGGCCGGACCATTAAAATGATACCATACTTTGCTATAAATAACCAAAACAATATGTCTTTCCTTTGTTTTGGTATAAAGAAGCACAAGAACATTAGGAAAATGTTGAAATTAAATGAACATACCTTTTACAAAACATTTCATGAAGCACCTTACATTTCCTTCGACAAATGTGCAATTTACTTTTATAATTCACATATATGCATTGCAACTGATCCCACTGATTGTACAAACTTTAACAAGTAATTGGTATTGAAAAATATAGTAATGCACTTTAAGATTAAACGAGATTTATAAAGAAAGGAAGTTTTAAACCATTTACACGTGCATATAAAATCTAAATGTAATCCCTGCCTACACCTTACAAACTAAGGAGCGTGCTATTAAATGTGTAAATGTGAGAGTGCTATTGATAGCGTCTGCTGTCATGGGTCTGTCTCAGTGATGGACTGAGGCTGCTGTTGTCTTCTTCTCTGATCAAAACAGTGTCCCCTAGCGGATACTCAATGAATTGTACCTTATTAAAAATATTTATTCTGTGTCTTTTATGCATTTTCTTCACTTTTAAATTATCCTGTGGGGCCTGATTGAACGGCCCGCGGACCGTATGTTTGACACCACTGCTTTACATAATCATCTCGCGGGCCGGATTAAAGTCCTTTGCGGGCCGGATCCGGCCCGCGGGCCGTACATTTGACACCCCCGGTTTAGGGCATACTTGTTGGCTAGAATTTTGTGAAGTTGTAGTAGTGAATGCTTAAAAGACTGCAAGTCAAAGTGTTTAGTAAGTTAACAACACTAAGTGAAGTAGATAAATAAACTGTCTTTCATATGAATTCATAGTTTATTTTAGCCTAACTTTTAGAAACGAAACATTTTTGTACAATGAGTCAGATGTTGTTTATTATTATACAGACTAATTTATTGCTCCCGTTGGTGTTAAAAAAATAAATGGGAATAGGACCTTGGAAAAATGTATTTCATATTAATTAGAAATATTGGCGGGGAAAAAAATCATTGCAATGTAGTTCTATTTTTCTTCCAAAATCCTTCAGCCCTACTGTGTATGAAAAACAATTCAGTGCAGTATACTGCATGTGGTCCTTCAAAACTTTACAACATCGGCCCAGTTTTCTCCATTGCAGTGCATTGGTAAATGTGCAGTGTTAATTCGCTTGGTGTGCATTTGGCCACATTGCTCGGTGTGTGGTGGGCCTAAGCCACACGAATCGATGCACGTAACACATTCAAGCTTGCACTTGCATATGGGGAGTCACTGCAAGGTCCTGAGCCACCATTTGCCTGTCTCCATGACAAAGGAGGCATCTGTTGAGGGTTAGCCGGACATGGCCTCACTTCCTCCCTTCTTGATTTTTAAATTGGATTACCATCAAGTGAAATCACAAGACAAAATCCATCTTAAAAAACAGAGGCCGAGCGCATCTAACTCGCAGGTTAAATCTACAAGGAGGTTTCAGCTGTTCATGCTAGCACTCTATAAGTAGGTTTGCCAACACCTCTTGTTCATGTTGATCCTCATTGAGGTTGCGATTGTAAATGTTAACTGTCCTTTCGTTTGTTTATTCTATAATTGCTTCAAACAACAAGGCCTAAATATATAGCAAAAGTTGTTTTGACTGTGTTATTTTCAACTTTGTGTGTTCTGTTGTTTCATAGTTTCATGCTTCATGTTGTGTCAAGTGCATTGTTACAGCTGTAGCTGTTGTGAAAATGCTGTATCAATGAAGATGCATTGGATTTTCTTGGGACTTTGCGTGCCCTTGATTATGTTGGTCTTGTTCCGAAGTTCCACGGACCACCAAATGTTTCTGTTATGATGTGGCAGCTTGTTTGTCTCCACTGTCTAACGTGTTGTTTCAGTGAGTGGATTGATGGCCCCGTGGAGTACAAGGGGCTCGCCCTGCTCTCACCACAGCACAGCAGGAGACCAACACCGTTGTTTCATCTAACTGGCAGCTGATTTTGCCCATCCAATTATTTTTAATAGACAATTTTTTGCACATCAACTGACCTACTGCATAAATCAAATAAGCGCGTCCCTTTGAAAAGACTCTTGTTAACAACAGACTTGCACAAAGGATGCACTGTAATGGATGATGGCTATAACTTAGAATGAGTTCATGCTCTGTTTTTGTCTGTCTGGCCTCTTTACATTTTAAATCTGATGTTGAGTGACAAAAACAACTCATTTATCATGTTAATTTTAAAGCCCTTCTTTGGAGAAAGCCAAATTGCATGTGGTGGTAATATCGTGCATTGGGCAAATGGTTCATTTTGCTCGATTTGGTGGTTGCGATGCCAACATGAATAGGATTAAATATGCATCCATCTTGTGTCCTTGGTCCATGTGGACTACTTTTACAAGTAATCACCGTTAAATGCTGAGTCATGAGATGAATCGATCATCCATTCTTGTTTTTGCAAATAAAACAAGAAAGCTTTTTCATTCAAATCAGATGAGAACATTAAACCTCACTAGAAATTTAAAAAGATGATGAAAGGCTAAGCATGCTGTGTTACTATTGCCAATAATATCCTTTCTGCTCACAACACAGCAGGGGCTCCTTAAGTAAGTTGACATCTTCCTGCCAACCCCCTTTTTTCATCTCAAAGACTGCCCCCCTTTTTGGAAATGTATACAGCTACTGCTAATGATATTTCCTCTTAGTGATAAGCGTTTCAATTACCATCATTTGTCATCTATTTAGTCCAGGCGGCAGTAAAACTAACATAAACATTGAGTGTTGAATTGAATTGTCATGAATAGTGCCGAAGGAGTACTGTGTTCCCCCTGGTCTTGTCTCTGTCCCTCTTGATGACACACCTCTCCACTTGCTCATAGCTGGTGTCGGGAGAAGGCACCCACACAGATGCAGCTCCAGTGGCAGACTCTGAGGCGGCGCCCCCTTTAGAGAGGACCGGAGGCATCGGAGACTCTCGACCACCTTCTTACCAGTCAGTACATGGAGAGAATGTTGCACATTTGTTGTTTTGCTGAAGGGGGAAACACATTGATTGTAACGAAACTTGTTTTGACAGTGGTGGCACAACACCAAATCTTAACTTTGAGGTCAGTCAGAGCCCCCGAACTTTAATACTGTATGTTCTGCAAAAAGGGGCATGGCCGCCTTCCTTTGAATTCCTATATGTCATGAACAAGGCCCTCAGTCTTTCCTAAAAAAAAAAACTGAATAACATTTGAAACTGTAAAGTCAATAGAATTGATACCAGCCTGGCACAGCCTGTATGTAGCAAAATAATTTGAAATTTGCAATCATTTGGGACAAGGCTGGTTTGGGGAATTAGGTGTTTATTATATGAATGCAATTCAAATCTGTCGTCGTTATGCACTGCGTCCATCTGTAGTGGGAAAGCTGCAAGCGGTCGGGACAGTTTGGACAATGACACGGAGACGGGCTCTATGGTGTCTCAAAGAAGAGAGAGGGACAAGCCGAGACGGAAGCACAGTGACCACGGTCAGGAAGCTGTTTGTGTCCAGTATTTTTATCTCCACAAACATTTTCACAGCAGATAGAAATGTACTTTTAGCAAAAATGTGTTTTGATTTTGGAGCTTTATCTTTACTCGATGCTGTCTTTATTGGGACAGTTCTCCTTAGCTTGTCTCAACAAACCCGTACATTCTCCCACATGACTCTTTCTGCATGCTTTTTTTTTTCTCCACAGGCAGTAGGCAGAACGGGTTTTTGTCACGGCCAGCGGTGCGTGGAGGGGGAGCCGAGTACGACAGCTGCTCTTCTTTCATGAGCAGTGAGCTGGAGTCCACTTCCTGCTTTGATTCCGAGGATGACGATGCTACCAGCAGGTAACACGGCCCACGTTGCCTTTCAGAGCAGTAAGTTGATAAGGGCAATTTGCAGTGACAGTGTTTTGTTTGGCCTCTGGAATTACAATCACTGACTTTTGAAAGACTTAGCCTATTGCACTTGGCCTACGGCAGTTGTCCACCCCCTGAACTGTAGGTTTCTACTGCACACTGCAAGTCACTATCTTTGAATGGAATTTCTACCAGAGGTTGCCATAATTGTTTATTAAGTGGCTATTGTGGAACATCATTTTCATACGGAAATATGTCTCTTCTGTCTCCCAGATTTAGCAGCTCCACAGAACAGAGTTCCTCTCGTTTAATGAGACGACACCGCCGCCGCCGCCGGAAACCCAAAGCCTCCAATCTGGACAGGGTGAGACGACACGAGTCAACCACATTCTGGTATTTTCCCGTTAAGTTACAGCAATCCCCCTTTTCTATTGTTCTTGTGTCCAGTCATCATCATTCAGCAGCATCACAGACTCTACAATGTCCCTCAACATTATTACAGTTACGCTCAACATGGGTAAGTTGCCAAATTTTACCCCCCCAAAAAAAGACAGATCATCGACTCTTTATAGATACATTCATACACTTTTTTTGTCTGAATGGTAGTATGAATAATTTGTATAGCTTGTTGCATTGAGTTATCATTCCTTGTTATTGTTTTTTGTTGATATTCTCAGCTAACCTGACTTTAACCAAGATGTTGAAATAAAAGTTGATGGTGACTTTTGACTTCATATTATGTGCCAATGAATAGTTCATAGATTTCTGTGAAGAATCCACATCTATGAATGGTCTTGTTTTTTATTTTTTTATTTTTTTATTTTCTTTTTAAGGGTTGTTTTGTTTTTACAATTGTCCATATCTATGAGTCATTGGATGCCGGTAAATCAGCTGTGTTGAAGGATAAAATGTCCTTTGCGAAAATGGTTGTGCAGTACAGTGTTCCCTCGCTATCTTGCAGTTCTTCATTGGTAGAGCTGCTGTATTGCAGACCATTTTTACTGAATGGATTTTGACAGTACATTATACAGGGAAATGCAGATTCAGAGTTGTGCACCTTCAGTGTAGAGCCACTTTTTGCAATAACATGACTGGTAGTACTCCGGTCTACTGGATGCGATGCAGCATAATCAAGGGCAAGAAGACGATGCAGAGAAGGTCCCCAACTGAGCTTCAGAAATAGTTGTTATAACAAAGCAGAGAGAATATATCAGTGCCATAGGGTGGAATCCTCGCATCTCCAAAACGATCACATTTAAGGAAAAGCTAAAAAAAAACAACAAAAAAAATGTCACTGTTTGTTGAGTCATTAACATCACATAGTCAAAGAGAGCAATCCATTTTGGGGACTGACCAATCATGTTGATTTATGGGGGAAAATTGAATGTAGGAGCTTTACGACTGTGAGCTTATGCTTATGAGAATTGTTCGCTCTCTTTGTACGTGTTCCTGCTCTGTGAGTTAAAGTAGCCATCGTTTGAAGGTTTATGATTACTGGAACATCTATTTAATGGCATATAAACTTACAGTCAAACCTCGGTTTTCGAACATCTCGGTTCTCGTACAATTCGGTTTTCAAACAAAAATTTCGAGGTTTTTATGCCTCGGATGACGAACAAATTTCGGTTCTCGAACTAACTGAGCTACACTTCCTCTTTAGTGTCCTTTGTGAGCAGACGTTTTTGTATTGTTCAAGAAAGATTTTTTCAAAAAAGCAGACGTGTTTGGTGAAACGCTTCCTCGTGTAGCGTCCATTGTGACCAGACGAGTTTGTATTGTTCAATAAAAAAAAAGCAGACGCGTTTGGTGAGACGCTTCTGTTAGGGGGAGTGTAACCCCCCTCTTTTCAGAATGGTTTGCCTCAGCAGCACGGGGGAAGTGCGTGCGTTTGTTTACGGCCGGCAGTTTTCAATACAGCGGCACATAATGAACACTCTGGTGTCCTGTTGCGTCCATTGTGAGCAGACGAGTTCGTATTGTTCAATAAAAAAAAAGCAGACGTGTTTGGTGAGACACTTCTGTTCGGGGGAGTGAAACCCCCTCTTTTCAGAATGGTTTGCCCCAGCAGCACAGGAGAAGTGCGTGCGTTTGTTTACGGCCGGCAGTTTTCAATACAGCGGCACATAATGAACACTCTGGTGTCCTGTAGCATCCATTGTGAGCAGACGAGGTTGTATTGTTCAATAAAGATTTTTTTTTTAAAAAGCAGACATGTTTGGTGAGAACCACGTAATATCGGCCTGTTATTTTTGCATCGTGTATCAGCCCCTAATCATGGCACAAAGAAAGCAAGTGGAAGTGGTAAACCTGGTGAAGAAAAGAGGAAAATAGTACGCAAAACTATAGAATTTAAGAAAGATTTGATCGCGAAATATGAGTCAGGTGTGCGTGTGTCTGTGTTGGCGAAGGAGTTCGGGATGCCGAAATGCCCCGCCTATTGCCTGATGACAGCTGGGATAGGCGCACGCCCCACGACAGATAGAGAGAGAGAGATGTTCCTTCAATTTTTATGTTACTATGTTAATGTTAAAATTGGTGAAAAAATAAAACATATTACAGTTTGTTTGTACAGTATTTTACATATTACCTGCTCTCCTATTACATTTGTACAGTTTATGGTGTGAAATTGTAAAAAAAAATGGTTTAAAAAAGTTTTCTTGACTTGGAACGGATTAAACAATTTTTACATTGATTCCAATGGGAAAAATGGTTTAGGGACACAGGTTGAAAAACACTGGTCTAGAAAACAACACTTAAGCATGAGCAGCAAACAAGGTCAGTAATCTGACAGAGACTTGGCAATTAATCTGTCCTTAAATGGTTTGCTGACCAAGGTTTGACTGTATATGGTTTGCTTATACACTTTGGTGTTGAAATATACAATATTTTATTCTCTTCTTTTGTGTAGCAGTTTGACAGTAATCTTCGTCTGGGAGTGACAAACTGCTTGAAGCTCTTATATGAAGAACTGTGAAAGCAAGGGAATGAGAACAGGCGCCGAGGCATACTTAAAAGTGTGTTTTAATAAGTTTAGATGTGTTTAAAGCAGGGGTGTTCAAAGTCGGTCCTCAAGGGCCGCTGTCCTGCCTGTTTTCCGGCTCTCCCAGGAGCAACACACCTGATTCAAATAATCAGCAATGTTCTCATGCTGCTTCAGAGCTGGCTGATGAGCTGATCATTTGAATCAGGTGTGTTGCAGCCGAGAGAGATGGAAAACAGGCAGGACGGTGGCCCTCCAGGCCCGAAGCCGGACATGTCTGGTTTAAAGCATGCAGGAGGGTGCAACTCTATATCTTTAAAATGGCTATGTCTATGGTGGGTATGGAAAGTATCCCTGGTATAAACGGGGGCTCACTGTACCTGACTTTTGTATGCATGTACTACTCAATGGTGGTCCTAACATTAAATATGTATTTTTTTCAGAGAAGTACAATTTCTTGGGCATCAGTATTGTGGGCCAGAGTAACGAGAGAGGAGATGGAGGAATCTACATTGGCTCTATCATGAAGGGCGGAGCTGTAGCTGCTGACGGACGCATTGAGCCAGGGGACATGCTGTTGCAGGTGTGTGGCTGTGTTTGTTGCATTCACCTTGTGCAAATTTAAAAATGGGGCAGCCCATACCTGGGAGTTTGGAATGCGCGTGCGGGCCAGTGTCTGTCAAATTTGTGTTCCGCGCCAGCAACTGGGTTGAAGTCATGTGAAAGCAGTCAAAGCTTCTAAACAAAAGCTCATCATGGATTTTCAACGGATGCTTGTGGATTGTGGCTTCCCTGCCCCAGGTCCATTATTTATTCTTACATTTTCAATCCCTGTCAGTCATGATGCCACGTTCTATGGCACGGGATTGTTTCATTTTTGCTCAAGATGACTGTATGTAAAAGTGTTTACCTGCTAATACTTCATTAGCCATATTCCAAGAATATGCAAGTCAAAAAGGCGAGGGTATTCATCTCAAAATATGTACTTTAATGAGCGCTGGTAATTAATTGCCATTCCACTGATGACTTGCTGAGGCTGTGAAACTTTTCAAACGTTTTAGGAAACCATGTGGCAGTGGGCCTGTTTGTAATGTCCTCATCGGAATGGAAAATATTTTCGTTGTGAGAAAATTCGAAGATGCCTGGTTTTGTGGTGTTTGTCATTCATTTGAATATATTCCAGGACAGTTGGATTTTCCTTGGTCACAATGTCTGATAATCGTGTCTAAATATCATACTAATGCAACTTGTGTTTATACAATAGACCCTCACTATTTGCAAGGGTGGGGTGTGGTTAGGAGCGGTCCGCAAATAGTGAAACACTGCCTATAATTGATGGACATTATCGCATTGGGGAACGGGGGGGGGTTCTTTTTTAAATTATTTATTAACCCCCCAAAAATTTTGAGTAACCGGGAATATAACGCCAATAAGCGTTTCCCAAGAATATGCGCCTTTCCAAGAATATGCGGATTAGAAATGATTGAAAAACAAATCTGCTAGTAGGTGAGTCCGTGGGTGCCAGAGTGTTATTGGGTAGATTTCCCCTGAGCTTTCTTCTTCATTTACATTTTTTATGTTTGGACTGGTCGTGTTTGGTCAGTCTTTACTAAGTTTGCTCATAATAGAATACCCTTTTTTTTTTTAAATTTGTACCTCTACAGAAAACTGGCATTTGACCAAAAACAAGAGCCGCTCAACAGCCAAATCCACATTTTTAGTTTATGTAATGTAATGTACTAAGGAAATACAGTGATCCCTCGCTATTTCGCTGTCCGTTTATCTCGGCTTCGTGCATCGCATTGCGGATTTTTTCAAACAATCATAAAAAAAAAAAAAAAAAAATTGAAGTGCAAAAATCAGTGTCTAAGTGTTGTTTACTATGCGTGCTAGTGTGTGTGCACTCTGCTCAAGTGCTGAGTCCACGTGGGGCACGTGTGTGCACGTGCACGCATGGGCGCACAGGTGAGTATGTGTGTTGGGGGGGGAGAGAGAGAGAGAGAGAGAGAGAGAGAGAGAGAGAGAGAGAGAGAGAGAGAGAGAGAGAGAGACTTATAAGAACAAAAGCAAGTCTCCATCCTTAATTGTCTAAACAACCTTAATTGACTAATCAAACACGTCTGCTGCAAGCTTGTAGGGATCGCTGGCGTGTGTGTGTGTGTGTGTGTGTGTGCTCTGCTCAAGCGCAAAGGCCCACGTGGGCATTTTTTTTTTTATATGTATGTCAATTGGTCGCTACTTGCTGATTTTCGTTTATCGTGGGTGGTTTTGGTCCCCGATAAACAAGGGATTACTGTAATATATAAGATTATGTTTGACCAATTTCAACCCTACTAAGTACAGTCAAATCTTGGTTTTCGAACGTCTCTGTTCTCGACCAAATCGGTTTTCGACCCAAAATTTCTAGTTTTTTATGCCTCGGATTACGACCGAAAATCGGTTCTCGACCAAACTGAGCGCACTTGAATACGCCACTCGACTCCTCTCGACTTCTTTACACGAGGAAGTGACGCTTCCTCGGGTAGACGAAGAAGCGACCCCTCCATTGTGAGCAGACGTGTTCAATAAAGATATTTTTTTTAAAAGAAAGAGCGTCCATTATGAGCAGACGTGTTCAATAAAGATAAAAAAAAAAAAAGCAGACGTGTTTGTTGAGATCTACGCAAATTGGACTGTTATTTCTGCATGGCACCGAAGAAAGCAAGTGGAAGTAAAGCTGGTGAAAAAAAGAGGAAAAAGAAATCAAGTGGAAGTAGTAAAGCTGGTAAAAAAAGAGGAAAATAGTGTCAAAACTATTGAATTTAAGAAAGATTTGATAGTGAAATATGAATCAGGTGTGCATGTGTCTGTGTTGGCTAAGGAGTTCGGCATGCCGAAATCAGCAGCATCCTAAAAAAGAAAGACCACCATAAAGTCAGTGATGTGGCTAAAGGATCTCGTATGTTTAGCAAACAAAGGCCATAAATATTAGAGGAAGTGGAGAAACTTTTGCTTATTTTCATAAATGAGAAACAGCTAGCAGGGGACAGTCTTAGCCAAGATACGATTTGTGGCAAAACAACACAATTGTATGGAGATTTGATTAAAAAAAAAAAAAAAAAAAGGATCCTAGCATTGCTCCTGAAGAGTTTGATTTTAAAGCAAGCAGAGGATGGTTCGAAAAGTTGAGGAAAAGAAGTGATTCATCATGGGGAGCCAGCCAGTTCAGACAAGGCTGCTGCCGAAAAGTTTAAAGTTGAGTTTGAAAATCTCATCAAGGCCGAGGAATATCCTCCCCAGCAAATTTTTAATATTGACGAGACTGGACTGGTGTGGATAAAGTGGTTGCAGACAGAGCGTCCATAGTTACAGCCATTACTTTAAGGTTTATAAATTCAAGGTGCAGAGATGAAAGTCCTCCGGATTTTCCCGGAATTCCGGGTTTTTCACATTTTTATGAAAATCTCTCCGGAGAATTGAGGAAAATTTGCCTAAAATTAATCCAGATATTAGTTGACAACATTGAACGAAGACGCGTTTGAGTTCGTTGTTTTGCTTTCACAAGCGTAGCCATGTTGAGACACTAACAC